AATTATAATATCAAATTATAATTATAATATCATATTATTAAAATAATTATAATATTATTATAATATCATATTATATGATAAAATAATAATATTAGGATTATTAATATAATTATGATATTATTTTACAGTATTATTATATTATATTATTTTATTTTATATTACGAGTTTGAATTTTAGATTGAGAAGATTATAAATTTTAATTGTACTATGTTGATTCCCGCACAATCTAAAAGATAAAGTTGCCTTAGGGTTATTTTTGAATTTGGCTCTAGATTCTTTAAAAATTTTTAAAGAGCACTTTTGAGTAGATTTATCAACATACTAAAATCAACTTTTGCTACAAGCAGAAGCTGATTTTGTGAGTGAAAAATAATACCAAACGCAGCCTCAATAACTTACTGCAATATGCTTAGTTATATGCATGTAGACCTTACTGTAATATGCTTAGTTATGACTGTAATATTTATTACGTATTGTTGATATTTTAATTGTGCATTTGTTTCTTATTTATTTAAGTAAACTCTGAAATTTGTATGTTTAAAGGATGATTTATTTAAAAATAAGTTTTCAGAAAAAAAAACCCCCAAAATTTTAGCAACTAAGTATTTGAGTTATGAAAAATTTTACGGTTTATACTATAAGTCATGGTTAGTAACAGCTCGAAAAGTTGGGTCATTACACACGTGGAGCTTATGACTAATTTTGTCCAAATTTTAACATCCGTTATCCAAATATGCTTATTTGTAACAGTTTAATAAGTTTAGGAGGTTAATTGTCAAAATTAAAAATATAGGGACAATTTATTAAACCACAATAAGTATAAGAGGTAAATGTGCTAAAAACTTTTTGTTATCAACTCTGATGATAATGGACAGTGGCTGGGTTAAAATGATGCGATTCTAGTGTAAAAAATCTCTGCTAGCGTTAACCTTACTATAAAGGAAGTTTGTTGCACCTTAAGTTTCCTGAAGATACTTTCCTCATCTTAAATAACGTCAACTTTTCTTCTAGAGTTCGTATCCACTAAATTAGGATAATATGATTTTAAACTGCATTTCCCCTCTAATGGAATATGACCAAAATATCATTATCAAGGAGCAGTGGAGCCCACTCCACTGTGGTCGACTGCATGGAGCTATAGCGAGGTTCTGTCTTCTTCCAACAGCTTGCCCATAGTTGTTGATGATCTACGGGTCTTCTGGCTCATGCCATTGTCTGGATTGATCCGAGTCGACATGTGAATGGTAGAGATCCGATAATATTATTTAATAATCTTTGGTGCTTGTAGAGCAAGTAGAGGGCAGGTTTTTTTTTTTTTTTTTTTTTTTTTTTTTTTTCACTAGTCTAGTTGCTGCTTGTACCTTTTACGAGTCCTTGAGGGACTCTCGTTGTGCTTTTGGCCTTGGACACTTTTCTTTATGCTCTTGCATGCCCAGAATTGCCTTCAGTTGAAAGATTGCAAGTGATGACATTTTGAATTGATGGACCTCATTTTTAAATTATATGTATAGATGGTCATAAAGGTTATATAGTATCGCTGCATATGATGATCCTTTACAAGTTACCTTGACAAAAATTAAACAGAAGACCATAGCAATAGCAATTTAGAAAATGCATTTCTTGAAACAAATTAGAGAGTTTATGAGATTTAAAGTTTAGGCGTAGCTACTCTTGAGTTTTATTACGTTAAATTAAACTAGCCGTTCTCTCAAAAACACAAAGCGATAAAAATGAGTGGATATAAGAAACTATTTGTTTCTAATTAATATCCTACAAATTAAAGGGATAAGAGCATAGTAAAATCTAGTTTAGATGTAATCGCGAGGTGGAGAAAGAACAATGCCATCTAAGGTGGTGCCTTTTCTCTTCAAGAAATGAGAATACCAATGGGCAGAGAGCTTAGGTTGTCTTCTCAATTCTGGATCGTCGAAATCTACGTAGTACAAGCCATAGCTGGATTCAAAGCCGTCCAACAACTCGAAAGAATCCATGAAGCACCATGCGAAATACCCTTTCACGTCCGAACCATTCCTATCAATTTTACATAAGAAAGATAAATATCAACTGATCAACTCATATAAAAGAAAAATTATTTACATACTAGTTCATGTAATAACAAACCAACAGTACAAGAACTGTCTGTGTAAATCTACACAAGTTACTATCTTCATGTTAACCAAATTAAAATCACATGTGTATCAAGTGTCAAGAAAAGTAAGACGTCAATTTCCATGTGGTAAGATTGTCTAACTCTCTTGTCCTCTATATTTTAGTGACCACTTTTTGAAAAGTTCAGATAGCATAAAAAACTGTTTATCTATCTATTCTATACAAAAATATAAGTTTAGATAGCATTATAAACTGTTAATCTATCTATCTTTTATGTAAACCGGGAAAGAAGATGAGAGGCAATAATTAGTTAGTTACCATTAATCATACCTTATATTATCAATTACACTCCAAATATGCGCCTGCAAGTATTCAATCCTCGACCAGTCTGTCAATATTGAATTACGCCGAGTTCTTTGACCTGTTGAACACATTCCAATAATTACAACGTCTAACCCCTTCAGCCCCACCTAATGAACATAACTACAATTGGTTCCAAAGGGCCACAAATTATTTGGAGAGGCAATTTGATCAAAAAGTGAATAATATAGTATCAAACTTCTTTTTTCTATCTTGTAAAAGGGTTATTTATCTTTTATACCTGTTTTCAGTTTTTTAAAAGTATACCCTAAATTTTTAGGTGTTGCAAATGTATAACATCAAGTTAAATTGAATTGGCAAATCTTTACCTTTTCACGGTCAATGAATTTTGACCTTTAAAATTACCAAATTAACCTTAATGGTAGGGGTTTTATGGCGTACATTTGCAGACATAAATAATTGAGGGTCATTGTTAGTTTGGTTAGTTTGGGAATTTTAAGGGTCAAAATCGAGTGTTAGATACAGATTTACCTATTAAATATAACATGATGGAAGACATTGCAGTAATCCAAGAGCAAGGCTATAGTTTTTTAATTAACCTAAAACACATAATACAAGGCTATAGTTTTTTTAATAAACCTAAAACACATAATAAAAAAGGGTAATTACCCTTTTATAAATGCTAATAAGTTATGCATCACCGTTTATTAGCTAGTGATATTTGATTAATTGGTTTTAAATAATCGTCATTTATATATTAATTTTGGAACTAATAGAACTAATTGACATCAGTTTATTTGAAGCGACCTTTTCCAGTACGCCAACATACCGGTAGGTCAAATTTTCTATCCGTCGAATCTGTATAAAATCACGTAATAGTCAAAAAATACATAAATCTAACGGTTAAAAAAACCCGGCCTACTGGTACGTCAAACGTACCAAAAAATCTCCTTTATTTGAATAATTTGAAAAAATAAGTAGTGATTGTACAGATTAGACTTTGTAAGGACTTGTACTATCATTTTGAAAGGTCAGGTTGTTGTAGTGGGTCAATATCCCTATAAGTTAGTGTTCATTGTAATATCTAAACAGTGCGACCCAACCTCTGTATTAGATTGATTAGACCACTCGTTTAAACTTGTTGCTTTCAGAGCCATATAGAAATTGGACTTTCTAAGAACTTGTACTTCAATCTTAAGATGTCAAAATGTTAAGTGTAGTGGGACAATGTCCTTATAATTTAGTGTATTGTTATATTTAAATGATGTTGGACTCTTATTCGTTTTACCCTTTATAGTTACAATCACTAATCAACAATCTTTGAAACTTTTCTACTTCTTGTGGCGTTACGTTTATCAAATGATTTTTCAGCAAAACAATTTGAAAATAATGTCATAAGGAGAGAGGAAAAAGAGAGACTACCATTTTCATGAATATAAATAGGAGGATTATTATAATGCTGCTTTATATACTGCAGAACTCCAGTCAGGCCCCAGGGTGTGATTGAAAACTGCATCAAACCAGAGAATTAACACACTCTAAAGCATCCCATACCTAAACAAATAGAAAAATGTTATATTCAATTTTTTACCTCAAATTTTGACGAGGACAATTCCGGAACTGCACGCCACAAAAAAAAAAAAAAAAAAAAGAAAGAGCTCCAATGAGTCAATTCAGCCGAAAACTGTTGAAGTTAAATAGTATTTGAACCTCAACTGACTGATTGATTCAGTAAGATAGAGAGAACTGATTGGTCAAAATTCTAAGTGTAACTTTGGATGCAATTTATGTTGCTAATCATTGTGCACAATAACAGTTTCTTTAATTGAATCTTTTTTTTTTTTATTATTATTATTTTTTTTATAAATTTGGATGATAGGATTAAAATGTATGAAAAGAAAAATACTAATGTCTTGGAAATATTTTTTGTGATTGGATTTATATTTGTCTTCTGTATAGATGTCATGTTGTTCAAGTTACAACTTTTAAATTGTTTTGACTTTTGACGCATGTAAAGTTGTTCAAGCAGAAGAGGCATACGAATTATTTCTATTCCCATGTCTGCAATAACGTCCCCGTTTCCTAACTGAAAGGTGTTGGATATGTCCTTGACGTTCGATGTAAAGTAATAATTCACTCCTATAAAGTCAAAGGAACCCCTAACACTTTCGGATTCTTCGATGGTGAAGGCCGGAATTCTTGAGCCAGCATTCTTCTTCATCAAATCAGGGTAATCTCCAAATATCAAGGGATCCAAAAACCTAAACACAACGGGGACTCAATAAGTACTCAAATGCGACACAAAGTGACAATCTCTATTTCCCGCTATAAGAGGGAAAGAGATGATTTTATTAATTTCAAGTTAAAATTATAGACAAAGAACACTTAGAAAGAAGAAGAAGAAGAAGTAAGGTGATCTCTAACTTACCAACCAAAAATAAATTCATTTGCTCTTTTAGTAGCAATTTCATCTTCTCGACTCTTTGTTAGAGGGACAAACCAATAAGTAAGGATGTTGAATCCTATAAATCCGTGTTGCTTGTCCTGCATTGCCCAATTATTTCTCTAATGTGATCAACATATATTTCTCTAAAGTAAAGATATATGGTTTTTCATAGTTATAAATTCCTAAATTCTCACAATCAGTTTTCATCGTACTTATTGAAAATAGGCAAGTAAATCTAAGAATTTCTAGTTGACATGGTGGTTAAGGATATATGCATCGAACTATATTTCGCGGTTTGAGCACTCGACATGAAAATGCTTCAAGATTACCTTGTAGTGTTTTTCATACAATCTATAAGCCGACGCATGTGCCAACAAGATATGATGAGCTGCAATGTATGGCTCAGTCGTGGAGTTGCCTTCAGAGCAGTCACCATATGGATGCGAACATCGTCGTGGTGGTAGATTTCCCCAATCATAACCTGCCCACACAAACAGATTGGCCTCATTTATAGTAGCCCAATGTTTAACTCTATCACCAAACTCTCTAAAGCACACATCTGCATATTCTGTGAAGTCTTTCCTGCATCCACATAAACATTCTTCAATCATGTCAATCGCCCATTTTTTACAGTTGCCATGAAATTTATCAGCAAGATCAGAAGAAACATACACAATCTTTCGACTAAGCCATCCTCCGTACTCATCTTCAAGAATCTGTGGGTGATCAAATTGTTGCAATGTAACATGTGGTTGAATTCCTGGTTGATGAGAAACAAGCAAGTCTTAGCATAATGCTTTCCTTATAGGGTTACAAAAGTAAAAACAAACTCATATATCATATATTGGTACTGACCATGACTGACTAATTCATTGATAAAATTGTTGTAATATTGTAAACCCTTTGGATTGATAGGTCCTCTTCCATCTAGAAAACAAAGAATGATCAACGTGTTAGAAGGTCAAGCAGAAATTTACTCGGTTTTTTGCTTTCTTAATATAAGTAATTAATTTATGTGATCATACTTGGGATAAGTCTTGACCATGATATAGAGAATCTATATGCTTCTAAACCTGTTTCAACCATGAGTTTGACATCTTCCTGCAAGTAATTTTCTATGAACTTTTAGTAATGCATCGACCACAATCTTACTACAACACAAATATATTTCCAACCAAATCAGCCTAGAGCTTTTAGATTGTGATCACCTTAAACCTGTAAGTACGGAACGGAAAAGGATAATAATAATGATAATAATAACAATTGTAATGATTAAAAAAAAAAACCTTGTATTTGTGATATCCATCACATGCGATGTCTCCCGTAGCTCCTTTCATGTACCCTGAAATTTTAAGAAAAATTATTCCAAAACTTGTGTAATGACGTGACATTTCTAAAATGACTTGTAGTGTCACAAAACATACTTTTTTTTTTTTTTTTTTTTTTTTTTTTTTTTTTTTTTTTTTTGCATTTAACATAACTAAGAAAAAAGTGACCAAGAACAACTTTTTTTTCTTTAGTGCATTTACAGCAAGCTCTGAGAGAAAAGAAGGAAAATTTAGCCATTTTAGGGTGTGTTTGCTTCAAGGATTTTGCATGGTTCAAATCATAGTTCTTAGTTGTATTACAGTGGTTTCCTCTCATAAACAATGTGAATTTCAAACTTCAAAATCATGAATGATGGTTTGAACTTATGAACCAAACGGATCCTTAATTATAATCTTGCCCTGTTCTCTTTGATTTTAAATAAAAACACGATCTCTTTCAAAAAAAAAAATAGTGCTCCCTAGACGACATACGATAATAACATTAATTTGTAACTATTTTAGAAATGTTGATATGGACATGAGACATATCATGGATATCAATTAATATACTATATCATATTCAAAGAAAAAGAAAGATGTATAATAATATGAAACAAAAGTAAAGGGAAGGAGAACTAGTTAATCATATCAACATACGAATGACCATGAAAAAAAAAAAAAGAGGTGGGGGAAGACCAACCGGCATGAGCAAAGGTGTCCCATATGCTAGGAGTCCTTCCATCTTTATTTGCAGCACCCTCTGTCTGCCCAACACAACCAAAACAAAACATAAAAAATCAAAAAAAAAAAAAAAAAAAAAACCCCATTTCCTCAAAATCCCAAAACACAATGAATATGTCATCAATATTAATATTTTCTGCGGTGAGAAATTGCAACAAGTGAAAGTTGATCAAATGGACCTGATAAGCTGAGGAGGCAGCACCAAACACAAACTCAGCTGGGAAATCATCTCTCCTAACTTGTCCACAAACACTTAATCCTAGTAATCCCAAGCTCATAAGAGCAAAGAGTGAGAAACAGATTCCCCACATCTTCACTCTAACTTCACTGTGTCATGATTTCTTTAGAAACTCAATATTTATTAAGGTTTGATTTACTTTGTAGATTTAAATTTTTAATTTACGTTGAGATGTGATATTTAGAGTTTTTTATTATAATAAAAAAAATTAAATGTGATATTTTTAAAAAAAATTTTATTATAAAAATTTAAAATTAAAAATTTAAATTGGTGAAGTAAATGAGGCATAAGAATTGTGATGTATTAAAAAATGAATTGAAATTCTTTTCTTTTTCCATTTTTCACATCTTTTTTAGGATTCAGATTGAAGCAACCGAGAAATCTCTGGACATTTTTTAATGGCCATGCGCACGATTATCAAAACTAGCTAGCTGGTGATCTCCGACAAAAAGCTTCACTACCAAGGCGGGCTTGTCAGTATAATTAAATCCAAATGAACGACACCCGAGAACTCCACGTGCCAAATTTTTAAATTGAATTAATTTTAAATGCTAATAAGCATAATAATAACTTCGCGCAGCTTAGAAATGGAATCACAGCACGTGCTCTACTGAAAAGTCAGAAAGAGATAATAATAAAAAAAAAAAGATTATTAGCATCTATAGTCCTTGAGGCCCGAACTTTGAGCGCGTTTTTATTTGGCTTCGTTATTTTGTCGATTTAAAGTTTTAATTTTTTATTTTTATAGTAAAAAATTTTTAAAAAATATAATATTTAATTTTTTATATTATAATAAAAAATTTTAAAAAAATATTACATCTCAATTTAAATTAAAAATTTGAATTCACAAAGTGAATTAGACTATTATTTCATGAATTTTAAAAGTTATCACTATACTATTTTTGTCCCCTACATTTCATTTTCTGTCAAAATCAACTAGAAAATAGTAGGTGCACTCTTATGGGTGGGTGGGGGGTATTTGCATTTATGCCCCTAAACTTATGAGTCTCCTCCGGTATGCCTTTGAACTTTGAGATAAACTCCACTTTGCCTTCTAACCTGAACATTTTCATAACTCCCATCTTACTGCCTCAAATTTTGAAATTTTCTCACTTTAAAAAGTTGTGTTAAATGTCAAAATATTATGTGAAAATTTCTTAGAGATTCTAACAAAATATCGATAGAGTATTTCGGGATGAATATGCATATTTTATGCCTCCTACCAAACTCATTTTTTTTCTCTCCCTGGTAGCATTTAGCTCCATATTTAGAGGGCTTCAATTCTTAAAAGATTTTAGTATTATTTTTGTAAATGTTCTCCAAGGCTCGAAATATGGATCATTTTTCAAAACAGTCCCTAATTGTTTAAAACTATTCAAAATAGCTACCAATCTATGGAAAAAAAAAATGCTCAACATTCTCCTTTTGTCCATTTCTGTATATAACACTAACGGATTTGCATGACATGACATGCCACTAAAAATTAATTCAAGGCGTTAAATGTTGATTGTATCAATAATAATAATTAAATATTAAAAAATTGACTAATTATTTTTCAAAAATAAAAAAACCCAAAAGAAGAAAGTCATATCCTCTTCCTCTTCACCTCTCTAAGTGCAAACTAATATGGCAGCCCCAAATCACATCATACACTCAAACGCCTTCTAAACCAACAAATCCAATATCATTCGAACACCTCCAAATTTAGAGAAAACCCCAAATTTAAAAAATACATAGATCTTTAAAATCACTTCTAAGCCTCGTCAACATCCTCCAAGGCCTTCTTACACAACCATTTGTTAAACTCGAGAAATCCCAGAATAATTTATAAAGCAAATTAAATTAGGATTTTCTTAATTTAATCACGTGTGGTAATTCAAACTACAAGAATCGGCACTTTTAGTGACGACCTTTTTAGCAACGATAAATGCCGTCGCTAAAAGACACTAATAGCGACAACATGCCGTCGCTAAAAATTATAGTCGTTTCTTAGAAGAAACACACAGTCATTGATTTTTGGTGACGCCTTGTGCGGATCTATTACGACGATATGTCGTCGCTATAAATTGTGTCAGAACGGTCAACTTTGTAGGACGATATGTCGTCGCTATATGGTTTTGTGTGCCAACTAGAAAAGTCCGGAAAAATTGTGTGCCAGTTGGCAACCTTTTAGCGACAACATGCTTAGCACGTACCTTAGGAAATGTAGTGTTAGGAGTACGAGATCCGGTCAAACTTTTATGTTGTCGCTAAAAGTCCCCAAAAAAATATTAGCGGACTTAGAAATTTTTGAAAATTTTTCAACAATTTTAGCAACGACATAGTTGTCACTAAAAGATTGACAAAATTAATTTAGCAAACTTACAAATTTTCTTAAAAATTTTGCCTCTTCAGCGATGTCAAGTCATCCCAAAAAAAAACATTTTTAGGTGGTAGAATAAAATTTTGGGAGAGGTTTTAGCGACGACTAATAGTAAAAGGTTGCCCCCGACACGCCAGAATCTTAATGACGTGTCAATGTTTTAGCAACGATAGAAAGAACTTTTAGTGATGATTTTTGTTATCGCTAAAGGTGTCGCATATAAACCTAACACCAGATCCTTCTTCTCCATTTTTCTTTCCTTCTTTCTTTCTTTTTTCCTCTTCTTCTCAGTGCCCCTCTTCTCCTCCGCCCCCCTCAGCCCAAAAAAGCACACTTTCTACCCCATTTCTCCATTAAATCAGCCTCAACAACTTTTTTTTTTTTTTTTGAAATTTCTCATATTTTCAACCCAAATTTCTCAAAATCTAATTTGGCCGTGATTTTAGACGCTGTCGCCAGAATTGTTGCCGCCGGTTGTAGCTAACATTGCCCAAAAACAATCACCTTGTTCTTGTGGTGATTAATTGTGAGTTTTTTGTGATTTAATTTTTTTTTATTATTGTTGATTATGTTGTTGTTGTTGTTTTTTTTGTTTTGTTTTTGTTTTTGTAATTAGTTTAGGACGATAATGAATTTTAAATTAAATTGGTATTGTAATTAGTTTAGGATGATGTTTGTAGTGAGTTTATGAGTTAATTTGGTATTGAATTGAGTTTAGATGGATATTTTTGTTTTGGTTGTAGGTTATGTGAAAAAGAAATAGAAAACATATATTAAAAGAAAAAAATATATGAATAATTTACCTTTACATTAAAATTGAGTAAAAAATAAAAAATAAGAAGAAATAATTGATATAATTATTGAATAAACAATAAAGAAATTGATATAAGAAATAAGAACAAATAAAAGAAAAAAATGGATACAAAATAAAATAATTGATATAAAGAATAAGAACAAATAATTGATATAATTGAAAAATTAAGAAAAAATCAAGAAAATTAAATAATTGATATTTACATTAAAATTGAATATAAAATAAAATGTGAAATAATAATATAATAATCTCATAACAATTATATGAGTAAATTTATTAACTGTAACTCCAATAAGTCAATTAAATTAAAGTTCTGCAGCATATTAATAGAAATAATTGATTATTTAAATTTAATTTGCAAATATCTACTATTCCATGGTCAATCAATTTTGACCTTTAAAATCACCAAATTAATTTTGACCTTTAAGGGAACTACCAGTAAGATATCTTTAGGAATTCCAAAGGACAAAACTGATTAAATTAGTAATTTTTTTTACGGATTTAAACTAGTAATCTTTGATTAAACTAATTTTAAATAATCTTGATTTTATAAGTTTAGGGGGAACGGACTATTCCACAAGGATCCACACAATTTGATATCAAATTCTGAATAGCCGAAAGTCAATAGTGATATAATCACTAATTCACCATCTATAATGTATCAAATTTCCGACTTCGTGTGGTGTTTACGTTTATCCAATGATTTTTGGGCAAAATAATTTAGAAATAATGTCATAATAAGAGAGAACAAGAGGAATACCATTTTCGTGGATATAAATGGGTGGATCGTTATAATGTTGCTTTATATACTCCAGATTTTCAGTCAGGTCCCAAAGTATACTGCATCAAACGAGATAGTCAGCAACAAATTAAATAATCCCGAAATATATTCGAACAGAAAAAAGTTATTAAATTGTATCATTTACCTCAATGGTGATGTGTCATTTAGCATAGCTGCTAAGAAAAAAGAGGAAAAAAAAATTCCAATAAGTCAATTCAATTGAAAACCTGTTAAAATTAACTTTATTTGAACCTCAATTGACTGATTCAGTAAGATAGAGAGTATTGATTGATCAAAATCATTAGTGCAACTATTGGATGCAATTGTAGCTGTGTGAAGAGTATATAACATTGACCTTGTTGGCTCAACAAAAGTGAAACAAAGAACTTCATTGAATATCAAAAAAGAGTACACATAAAAGAGGACAATGGTGGTATCCTCATGAGTCAAATACCAATAAAACTAACATCAAGATCCAAAAATATGGACCAAAAAAATCAATAAAGGAAACATTAGTGAAGTCCTTGTTTCGAAGCGATTCTTCAGAGGAACTCTGCGCTCCTTAACGAGTTCATCCCACTGCTAAACTCCATCTTTCTTCCACGGACCAGTCTTCATTTTCTTCAGTTTTCTCTAACACTCAAGTGGAGCTCCTATCTCAATAGACTGCAGAATTTAAAAAAAAAAAGAAACAAAAACTTAGAAGCTACTCTAAAATGATGATTATTATTGGCCATGATCAATAACGACCAACTACAATCATCAAAGATGATTTTTTCCAAACAATTCTGATAGGAACCAACCAGAGAAGTTTCACATACAGATGAACAAAGAAGAATGCATTTTCTTGAAGAAGATGCTCTGGTACAAGAACTGAAACAAAAAATTAACCAGACAACACTCTATCCTAGGTACACTACAAGAAAAAGGGGTTTTTACGACGACAAAAAGTCGTCACAAAAACCCGCATGTCGTCGCAAATTTGTCGGCACAAATAATTCATCGCAAAAATATTTTTTGCGACGACATAGTGTCGTCGCAAATGTATTTGCAACGGCAAGC